TAACATTTTCATATGTTTTGATCAATTGCATATAAAAATATTAAAATTGATGGCATCAAAATATGTTTTATCAAAATTTAACTTGATTATACTTATGCACAATGTATATCATTTTGTAAGTTTATAAATATTAAAAATCATATGATTTGTTAGACACATTTACATATTAAAATAGATTAAAAATAGGAAAATTAGGCTAAATAACTAAAAAAATAATGTATATCTTAAAATCTAACCAAAATTATCTTCTATGGCCAATTCCTATCCCTTAGATCAAGGGTTTTTTGCTATTTTCTTAGATATATTTTTTTATGGTTATTTGACAAATTAATCCTTAAATTATTTAATCATTAAATCTCAAAATCTAGTATGGTTTAACTAGGTAGGAGCGTGGGGCAAAAATATTTAAAAGTCATTAAGAAAACATTACATTTAGTATTTTTAATTCTAATGTTTTCCTTAATTCTGAAAGATTGAAAAGTCTAGAAAATTGTAGACGTATCTTTAATTCTGAAATTTCTTTGTAAAATCTTCACCAACTGATTGAGTAACCAACTGGTAGTAATATAGTTTATAATTCTATTTTGACAAAAAAAAAATAAACATTACATTTAGTAATTAACTAAGGTACATACTATAATTAGAAATTCGTAACGCGGGGAATCATCTAGTAATTAAGATTTAAGAAGTTAGAAAATATTTGTACATTAGACTTCTACATTCAACCCAAAGTGCAACTATATTAGAAAATATAATAGAAAGATATAACACTAAAATTATGATAAAAATATATTTAAAAATTAGTAGACTAAGATTATTAAAACTTATTTTCCAAAACTGTTGATCACTAAAATATAATTATTTTACATATTATCTTTCAATAATACACTATCCAACATTATTACGGAGTAAAATCTACATAATCTAATCGAACATAAACATTCGAAGGCAAATGTATACAATTGAATTGATAAATAACATTAATCTAATATACAAAAATTATGCATACAAAGTCGATGGTAACAACTTCGAGATAGAAAAACATCTCATAAATATTTTGGTTGACTACTAAATTTATTCAAATTCGAGTGTCAATAAATATGTTATTGTGGTTGAGTACTAAATTTAGTTTTTATGATTGACTTGAATGATATTGTTATCCATATATATGGAAAAAAATCATCTAAGTGTTAATTTTTGTCATTGCGAAAGTAATTAATAATATATGGGTCAATTTTCTAACTAACAAAAAAAAAATTATAATGAAAAAATAGCCAAAATAACTATATGTGGCAAACCATCAACCATTAGATCTAGGTTATTTTCTTAGTATTTTAGTTATAGTTTTTTTTTTATGGTTATTCAACATAATTTCCCATAATATATTTGAGATTGTGATTTTTTTTTTTAAATAAGCAATTTTTCAAATTCTAACTCGAAACTAAACCATGCAACTAAAGTAGATACATGCATAATGCATTTTTCTCATATAATTAATCATATGTCATTGTTAGAGGTTGTTACAACATATTAAAAATTCTAGGAACATGCTACGACTTATAACATATTACTATTTTGATAAATTTAGATCTAATTTTAGAAATCAATATTCTAATTTATAAATAATCTTTATTTTGTATAAAATGTAATTTTTGTTCATTTTGAAAATATTTATGATATGTTAAATTTTTTTCCACTATCATTGTTATCCTCCTTTGAAGTCCCAACATTTATTGCAAATTTAGCCCTGATTCGCGTACAACCTTTCTCTCTGTTAGTATTTTCATTAATATTTTTTAATTCAAACATTTAAAATTATTCATTAACATTATACCATCAAATTTCTTGAAAATTAAAGGGTATTAAAGCTAAATGGAAGCCTAAGATTAATTTTTGTTTTTGTTCTTATCTCTAGCCCAGAGTTCTAATTTAAACAATAAGTTTTTAAAAAAAATTAATATATTTTTTTTCATTCAGTGGAACGCATGGTCTTTCCTTTCTTTAGCGCTAATTGTTCGGATCAGATTACGGGATCGTAGATATCTAGCATAAAAATTTGGATTATCATATGAGAATAGTCGTAAAGGTTCGGAGAGAAGTTTCGTCCTCTTTTAAATTAGATCGTAAACTACTAATTTACATTTCATTCAAAAAACTAAGTTTAACACAAATCTCTTAATTGGTAGTTAATATAATTTTGGATAGCCAAAATTTTTTAAAGTAATGCAATTTTTTTGACTCATGGTTGTATGCCTACACCGAATATCAACCACTCTCTTAGTTTTCGTCATATCTTTGGATTTTATTAACTATGAGTACGCTTTTTTATTTGATTAGAAGTTTAATCAAATACATCCTTAATTTTCAACTTAATTTAGGTTTTGAGATTTCTTTCTTTTTTTTTCTCTTGGTTAAGTTCAAATTTTGATATGTTTTCTTTATTTAATACATTTAATAAATCTATTTAAACCATTCGAAAATATGATTTGGTTTTATTTTGGTCAGATTTAATCATATCAAATCAAACGTATTCTAATTTAACACCTCTACTTAGTTTGTTCGCCTTAAGGTGATACTGTTATATTATTGTGAGTCTGTGACACAAAATACTTCCCATCATGAATCTAATTTCTTTTGTGATTTTCTATATGTTTTCTTATTAATCTATTTTTCGATTCTTTATGCAACCATATTACAAACATTGACAACCCAAGTTTTATTACAAATTCTCTTTAAAGTTTATGTTTAATATGTACTTCTCTTTGATTCTTTGGTTTCCATCAAACCAATTTTTCTCCATCATCTTTATCTTTGCTAACATCTTCTCGACTTTTTCCAACCTTCATTTTTCTTCATATATTTATTCATTTTTCTTCATCATTTCTTGAATTTTTATATTTATATTTGTCTATGATGATTGTTACTATGTCTACTATAAACGTGGATTCCGAAAAACTAATATACCTGAATTTCTATTATAATCTACATATTCTCTTTTTTTTTCTTGAGAACATGTTTTCTAAAATTGTACAAATCATTTTTTCCTCGTAATCTCTCTTTATCAATCTAACAAAAATACAAAACCATAATTTTTACTATGTTATATGTTTCTACATCATAACGATGATTTTTGTACATAAAATAAACTTATAGAGAACACAAATGAATCGCAACTTGATATACAAAAACAACTTGCGATACTTTTTAGGAGCCATCATATAGTCTCGTTTCTGAGAGTAAACGTAGGTAGGAAAGAAAATAAAAAATTTTAAAATGAAAATATAGGTAAAAACCTCATAATTCTTTTTAAAAAGTAATCGAATCATACAATTAATTCAGTAACCAAAATTACAAAAGTCATGCACGGTTCCTCAAAATAGATAACATGGAGATTCACATATAGCCAAGTTGAAAGCTATAAGTTATAGCCAAGAATATCATATGTTACGTAACTAACAACTTTCATGACTAAGAAATTTTTTAACGAAGACACTAAACTCCACAACATGACCAAAACTATTAACCAAAACAGAAAGAAGAATTTGTAAATTGTTTTTGATTAAAATAGTTATTTGGAATGGATTTGAACACTGGATTTCATGACGGATTCATAACAGTTATAGTCGATTGAACCGGAATTACCACTGAGCCATAAACAACATATGCAAGAATCAAATTAATAAAACTTAGAATATTTCCAAATTAGAAAACACCAAAAGAGTTACATTCAACTTCTTTACTTCCTAAATTAGCTTGAACAGTTCATCAACTTACAATATGACTCTGGTG